GAGAGACATATGAGAGAGACATATGAGAGAGAGACATATGAGAGAGACATATGAGAGAGAGACATATGAGAGGGAGACATATACACAACAAAGAAAGGAGATAAAAATAACTTACATGAACCCTTATGCTCACCTGACTGGCCCTTCTGGGACACATGAATAGCAAGTAGAAGTGTGGTTTCATTAATCAGGTCTCCCTTTTCAGGAATGGGGCGGGCCGCGGGGGGTGGGGTGGTGGTGGCTATAATAGCGAAACCAAAGGGGACAAGGAAAAAAAAACCCCGAAGGATTATTGTGCTGTAGCTATGGTTGTGTAGTATCCATGGCGATGTCCTTCTTAGGAGTGAGCACCCTGGCCTTTGTCACTGGGCACCAACCACAACAGATCATACCAATTTGTCGTAAACGCGGGGATTGAGGGACAGGTGGCGTTAATGAATAGGCACAACCGCGGTCACATGACTCCCAACAGAGGCTGCCTGTGCACACGCCTAAGCGTCTGCATTAGCCACAAATCACAGGTGCTGCACAAAGGAAACAGCAAAGGCGATTAGCGCCCTTTCCCATGAAGCAGTCCCCCCGTAATTGTGCCACTGTAATGGATGGTGTCCTGCTCGCTTTCCAATCGGTCGCTTCCTCTCAGAATTGTCAGAGCTGCCCTTGAGCCGTCTTGTTCCTAGGTATATAAGCATAACATCCATTGTTCGGCACACGATCGTACACAGAAAGCAACACAGCCCAACGCACTCCTGCTGAGTGCATGATGTTCCCCGGCCCATTTTCCGCCATTCCACATTCCTGCTAATGATTTAGCCTAAGGGCACAAACTCATTCTGGGAACAGAGGCTAAGCTGTCGTTCCACAATGTTATTTGTGAGTGAAGCTAGATGCCATTATCTGATACCTCCTTTACATCTACAGATCCCAGAGAACAAGCATTTGGGCACGTGCGCTAAGGTCAGACACCTACAGATAACAGTGGGGAGGGGGTCCTAGACATTAATGCATTGTGAAATGCCAAGACTCCAGTTCAGGGTGCAAGTTATAGCCAAAGAGACACATTCATTTATATACTGACAGTACCGGACCGTACTGGCTGGGCAGAGGTGGGCCAGAGCATTGGGAGGCTGGGAAGATGGTACATGTTAATAAAACCGTTTCATGTCCATGGCATCAGAAAAGGACGCGCAGGTTGGAACATCAAAGAGACACTGCAATCGGCATTATGCATTCCTGCGATATATTTCTGCATAAAAGACATAGGAATCATTTTGATGTTCGGGGAACAGAAAAAGCAGAGGGAGACGCAGAGGGGCCGAGTGGGTTTTAGAAGCCGGAGACGATAGAAGTACGAGATCCATCAGTCAGATGTGATGCCATGTTGTTTCCCAGATTTATGTTTTGTAATTTCACGCCGGGTCCCGCGAGGAAGCCACCGTTTCTAATGGCGTGCTGAGCTCTCAGGGATGGGAGGATGAATCCTGGATTAATGGTGAGGAGGTGCTTGAAGGTCACAATATGCATCACCCAAGAGATACCACTCTGCATGTGACTGATCTTCATCCAGTCCTTCAGGGTCGATCAGCAATATGCCCAATCAGGTAGAAACATAATCAATTATTTTGCACCATGCCATTTAACTATCCACAAATTCACAAATAACAGCATTCATGTCACATTTGTGTAAACATAATCCATTTCCTAATTTACCTGCCCATACAGAAATGATTACTTTCCTCGCAGCCTCTCACGAGAGTATTTCTTCAAAGTCTATAAATATCCAGTAAAATTAGTCTTCTATACACACATATTTGTTCATTTATAAATGAATATCTATTAATTTATTACATTATTCAGATAAAATGTTTTGTCTGAAATCTCATATGTAAAATGCATAATCCCAAATGAAATGACATGGTATGACGGACACGTGATTAGTCCTAGTGAAATCACTAGTCCTCAGTTGTGTTATGGTTCTAAAAGACACTTTTAAAAGAGACTTCAAAGGGGAAATAGAGTGCATATTATAAAAAAAAAACACACCAGGAAGTGAAGTTCTAATTCATAGGGACACATTTCTTAAATGATACTCCTTGGAGACAGCACGGTAACGATGACTCCAGAACTAAACAGTCGGGACATAAGTTTTCCAAGCTGTAACCATTCTTGAATGAACACAAAGGAAGTACTTTCAGGCCAAATCTCTTAGTGATCAGAACATACCAGACAGAGGTGACGTTAATTATTTCCTCTGTAAATCAGGGCCTTGTGAATCTATCCCACCATTCCCTGGCCGTTCTGATCCACTCTGAAAGGTACGATTGGAGTTTGTGGAAATCTGGGGGGAAACAACCGCAGGAGCCCAGGTGCAGATGCTTTGGAGAGCTTGCTGTTCTTATTTATCACTCCTTGTCAGTACAGTGGTTGCAGTTACAGTCATCATTCTACTACCTCCAGGGCCACGTCTCCAGCTGGCAATTACTTCCGACTGCATATCTAACCCTTAACTTCAAAGCGCCTTGTAAGATGTTCAGGTGTGGAGGATGGCCAGGACATAATGCGGGTAGACCTTTCTCATCGTAGCCTTTGAAAGCACGGCGTTCAGTGCCTGCAGATAGTAACAGGAGATGTTTAATAGTGGCAGAAACAGGTTTCTGAACTACAGAGAAACATCTGATAGGTTTAGATGACTACCAGCAGTTCCACAGATCTGTAACTCATCGCTTAAAAAGCCAGAAGAAGTCTGGTTATGACAGATAACACCAAGGTTTGTGAGTCAGTTTTTTGTAGATCTAATAAAGATTTTAGGAACATGTTGCAGCCTTGATGCCAGCTGAGATGTTGGTGAAGGACCTCACATATAGGGAGCTTTTCCACTCACTATTGAGGATTCATGGACAGGTGGCCATTCCCAGCATTTAGACTACTTGCAAAATCCTGGTCACCTGACTCCCTCATCACCCGACCCTGCTGAGATGGCCACACCCCCTCTTCTCACATTTAAAGGTGATACATATTCTTACTATGATATACTGAGAAAAACACTGTTAGAAATAATCTATGAGGCATTGAAGTGTGAATTAGGTAATGGACTTCCCCCCCCCCTGTTGTTCTTTTTAGTTAAAGCTTGCTGGCAAGTTTCTTTAATATAGCACAAGACTCCACTGAAATGTGATTGTCAGCGTTTTGTGTCCGTAAAGCTGTTTACTGCTGGGTGAGTTTCTGAAGGAAATCTGGCCTTCTGTGTCTAATGGGAAAATAGGCTATCAAGTGTACAGTGCTGACCACTGGCCTTTCTGTGCGGCCTGGCCAACCTCGTGTAACTTTTATAAATCTCCGGGGGCCATCTCTTGTGTTATATGGAGTGTTTCATTTCAGCATCAGGTTGACATAATGATGTACTCTCCGTTTTTGGAGCTTATTCTGCTATTGGTACGTATTCCAAGTATGGGGCCAGTCCTTTGAACTGGGATTCTGATGGATTCTTATCTATAGTCACGATGTGGGAGGGCTCCTGTGTGTTCCTGTCTCATTCACAGATGGCTGAGTAGTTATTCTCAGCAGTCTTGCTTCTCAGAACAAGCCCCGCCCCCATTTTTCTCAGCCCATTTTGTTGTCCATCAGACTGGATCTTCTTAATGAATACGGTCGCAGCCATGACCCAAGACGGCACGGATGAGCTCTCCCACTGGCCGGAGTGCTGATTGCGCTCAGAGACCGGGTTCTGAATGGCCCACCCCGGCCCGCCGAGGCCTGGGCAGTGATGCAGTCTCTCCGCCCTCACTTTTCTGCATCAGGGGCAGATGCTCTTGTCGTCCATCTCCCTGTGGCTGCCTGCCTGCACACGGCTTTATGCAAAAGCCAGTGACTTACTGAGCCCCATTAAGCCTGGGATGAATAAGATGCCCTAATGATGTCATCCCCATGGGGGCAGGGCCAAGTTTGAAACCAGTGGATTTAACGTGCCCAGGTTAGAGGCATTAACAAGGGCTAGGGCATCTTACAATAATCATTTCATAAACAGGAGAACAGTATGAGTGCAGAAAGAAACGATGAAAAATAGCAAACTGTTACTGAAGTTCATGTTGTAAAGTCCAGTGGGAAACTGAAGCATTTTAACTACTAATACACAAAAGTGCCACTTGTAACCTTTGTTTGGGTGAAACTTAGGTTGTAATGCTTCATTTTGCCTTGGAAAATGCTATGTTTTAATCATGCATTATTTAAACTATGAATTATGTATTGTACTAATAAACCAGTTTCTGAAAGCACATTTACAGCACTTGGTGTAGTGCTATTGTACGTGTTTGCTTTAAATTATATGTGCTCAAAAAGACCCCGAGCCAGATATGTTACCATCTGCTTAGCATATTCACAACTAGTAATTATAACTGATGTTTGAGGTCATGTGATTTTTAAATTATGATGCCCTATGAGAGCACATGTAACTGATTACCATAAGAGCCATTTATGATGACACAGCTGCTGGTTACTGCTACTATAGTACACGTTCCCGAGGTCACACAGCAAGGTCACATGGCTTACATAATCTGTTGTGTTTTCCTTATGAACGACTTGCATTATATGTCAAGTACAGTATTTACTTCTGAATGTATACTGCTTTTTTTCCAGGGATGCCAATAACAAAGCATACTAAAAATCAAAAGCATGGTTTTTGAAAATAATGTAATTTAATGTTGTGTTTTACTACTGAATTACAATTACTTTACTCCAATAATGCAAAGTGTATTTAAATCCCGCTAACAGCTGTGATAATGAAAAATGAATAAGCCATTTTCTATTTAATGTCCCAGACGCTCCTGAATGGGGATAATGTGTTTCGTGTTCCTTTGTTGGGCTGACGCTTTCGCTGTGCTCTTGGGTCCCAGGGCTGAGCCGATTTTAACCAGAGTAAAAGAGGACCGCACTCGAATCATCCTGCCTGCTATAGATAACATCAAGTACAACACATTCGAGGTGCAGCAGTATGCCAACGCAGCCCACGGCTACAACTGGGGACTCTGGTGCATGTACATCATCCCCCCGCAGGACTGGCTGGACAAAGGCGATGAGACCGCGCCCATCCGGTGAGCTCCGCCCTCTCCTTTGCCATGATGCCCATTTTTTACTGCCATGGTAATTCCTGCATTCTAAAACAGCTCACCGCTTCGTGGAAGAGCATTTTGACATGCGCTTCAATCAGACATGTTCAGTCTATGACTCTCTTCATTCTTTTTTGGGCCAAACTCCCCACTATGTGATATTTTGGATGTTTGGATGTTGTGGGAGCCATTTTTTTGGACCCCTTAAGGGGAAACTCAGTTTTATAAAAATCTGCCACTGCAATCAAAAAACTAAAAAATGCCAAAAGATTTGTATAAGTTAGGGCTGGGTGGGGGTTACACGGTTGTCATTGCTGGAATTATGGTTTTTCCCATAGAAACAAATGAAGAGTCCCCAAAAAGGTATGGATACAAATGTGTGTATGTGTGTGTGTGTGTGAGTGAGAGAGAGAGAGAGAGAGAGAGAGCACCTTGTGTTTGGCTGGAGTCCCTTCTAGGATGTTCTCTGCTTCTTGGGATAAACTGCAGATCACAGGAAACGGATGATTCCTCAAGTAGAATTTAAACACGGCCAGTGATGAAAGGGAGGGTTTTTGTAATTAAACTCAGAAAAATCATTTTACCTCACTGTACCCCATGGTCATTAAACGTAGTGCGATTACAGAATGCTGCATTTACCCTGTGGCTTGAGTACTCCTGTCGGACAGCTTATGACTGGCTCCTGAAGTGCCTGTTCAAATTAAAGCAGGGTTTTGCTGTTTTTAGTGCTACCCTAGGCTCAGAATTTCTATTCATATTTAATTTATTGTCTAATTTAGTGTTTCCCAATCTGGTCCTCAGGGACCCACAGTTGGTCCAAGTTTTTGCTCCCTCCGACCTCCCTGACCCTGCCAGACAGTCCACAAAATGAGGGAGCAAAAACATGGACTGTCTATAGGTCCTCAAGGACCGGATTGGGAAACACTGGTCTAATTTTAAAATCACCTGGCTAAATACGACATAGCTTTCTGCTGTTGTTCTCAGCTGCTGTTTGTTATTTTCTGTAAAACCCCTCCACACTTCTCATTACCTGCCTGAAAGTCCAATCTGCTTCCAATAATCCCAACCAAACCAATGCTGATTCCAGCGAACCCCTAATCAATATCTGTGGATTTGTACTGTACGGCACCAAATTCCTGCGTCCCCCTGAAGGTCAGAGTGTAATTAGAGCTGTCTTTGATGTAGACCACACACACTCATACACACACAATGCCTATCTGCTCTTGTTTCTATGCAAGTGAAGAGTCGAGAATGTGGGTCAATAAAATTCCAGCTGCTACCATGAAAAATCATTTTGGCTTTGCATGGCATGGTTGCGTTTTGCACACCAGCTGCACTCGCCTGTTGCGTCTGGGTTTGTTCATATGACCATCATAAGAGGAGCTTCTCTGCTGGGTGTCGATCATTATCAGGCAGGATCCTCCCCAGCCCCCCACTCGAGAAAAGCTTCACAGTATGATTTCTCATTTGTGTGATCTGGGAGTCAGTCTATAGAGTAATTGATTGCCTTCCTGCAGTTAATTATAATGCTTGGCATCACAGCCTCTCCATACGTCAGTCTATCCATTTTGTCCAATTCAGGGTCATGACTGGTGGTACTGAAATATTCATGAAATAAGTGAATATGTATTAAGGGTGTCAAGTTGAAATAGGGGTAAACTGCAGTTTTTATTCAAGAGAGATTGCAGGGATCATTGTCCATCTGTATCTTAATACTGCAAGAAGTTGTTTGATGGGTATGCCAGTGCAGCACAATATGCTAATTGTCTGGATCTTTAAGTGTAGCCATCCATCTGTAACTGCATCTCTTCCCCAGTGCTGTGTATCCAAGGCAGGGTCCCCACAAGGCTGGAGCCAATCTAAGGAAAGAAGGGCAGAGCAGGCAAAGGACACACTACATAGGATACCAGTCTGCAACAAAATGTGCATCACACACTAAGGGCAATTTAGGAACTGTGAGTGGAAATCAGAAGAAACCCATGCTGACCCACTCCTGGTCCCCAACCTAGAAGGTGTGAGAACAGGACCAACAATGAGCCACCACATTGGCCATTAAAAGCAGACAGCCCCAGACTGCCATCCATCTTCCAGTGCTGAGAAGAATAGATATTAAAGGCCTAGATTCCTACTCTACCATTGAACTGGAAGGGCTGAACATCTACAAATTCTCTATTGTGGGACCTGGATTAGATTGTGTAAGCAAGGTTGTTGATTCATGGCTGTTTCATTACCAAGGACATAGAGCATGGCAAACAGATTTAAACAGATGAAACACTAAAGCTAACAAAATATTAGTCAGATAGTGCATTGGGCGGTACTTCAAACTGCCATTCAATGGAAAACAAACCAAAGCACAGCTGTATGGATGCTCTTCGTGATTTTGGCAGCAAGAAATCTTATGCTTTCTGATTTGCCAGTAAGAACACTAAAGTTATTTTAGTTAACCATTAGGGTCAATAAAGCTAAAATGAACTCAAAAAAGGATATTAATTCTGTGTGTATGTTTCCAGGCAAGGTATACTGATACTCAGTGCTTCATGCTATACATCCTTGCTTTTTATGGCATCAAACGTCTCACATTAAAATATTAATTATGGACCAAACGGCATAGCTGATAAAGGGAGCCTGCAGTGATAAGTACAACCCTGTTGCAGCACTGTGTAAAATGTAAACAATCACTGCACCTTTTGTCTTTCTCCTTAGCATTAGCATCCACAACACTGCTACTTTTTGTGGTCCTTCTCATTAGCATTAGCATCCACAACACTGCTACTTTTTGTGGTCCTTCTCATTAGCATTAGCATCCACAACACTGCTACTTTTTGTGGTCCTTCTCATTAGCATTAGCATCCACAAACACTGCACCTTTTTGGAGTCATTAGCATTAGCATTCACAAATGCTGCTTCTTTTGTGGTCCTTCTCATTAGCATTAGCATCNACAAATGCTGCTTCTTTTGTGGTCCTTCTCATTAGCATTAGCATCGACAAACACTGCACCTTTTTGGAGTCATTTTCATTAGCATTAGCATCTACAAATGCTGCTTCTTTTGGCCGTCCTTCTGATTAGTATTAGCATCCACAAACACTGCTCCTCTCTTCACTGTCCCTGCTTGTTCTCCCGTTTTCTGGTTAATTTCTGTTCCACTTGGGTTCTGATGGCTTGACATTTTAATCTTTTTTTCTGTAACAACCTTGTGTGTAACCTCATTTACTTCAGTGGCCAAAAAGTAGATTTTTCTAAAAATTGCCCAAACCAGCTGCCCATACCATACTTTATTCATTGTGAAACCATGATTATGATCAGTGTCATATATATAACAAAAAGTTACCATGATTGGGGAAATACTTTCTGTTAACATGATGCATCACTGCTAAGTAAAAGTACAACAGACAGCATTGGCATAAATCATTTCAGATCCATAATGCAGCAGAGCGTGCAGATGATGTTGCAGCGATCAATGAGCGTTCCTCAATTCAAACGTACCCCCAAGTGTACAGTATCCATAAACAGTTCACCCGTACCACACAAGTCCCTCATCATTTACCTTTTACTATTATAGTCCTGTCTTTATATATCGAGAATGAACAGATAAAGAATGAAAAACAACATCAGAATGTCTTCCATCTCTTTCTTTATTAGAGGATTATACCACAGTCATTTAGAAACAAGAAAATAGTACATGTTCAATTTTGGATGACAGAACATTGTTACACCCTTGAGTTTGTTTACAGTTGGAGCTTACATTTAACAAGCAAGACTGGTGTAATTCTGAAGCTGCATTATCTATACACTTTTCAGTGGAATTTTGACTTGTGGTTTCTGCTATTTTGCCGACGTTCAATCTTTCTAGCACGCCAGCCATGATTGGCTGCTCCTTTGTGGTGGACAGAGAGTACTTTGGGGATATCGGACTCCTGGATCCAGGCATGGAGGTCTACGGTGGAGAAAACATTGAGCTTGGCATGAGGGTGAGTGCCTGCATGGAACACAAACAAATGAGCAACCAAGGAAATACATCGACGGGTATGATTAGAACCTCAGTTCAGAGGCGCTGAGGCGGTGTCATGAAGCTTGGCGTTCTCGATTTCAGTGTGACCTTAAAAGCTGCCGGGGTGTGAAAACGTCTGATGTGTTTTAGAAAATGGCTTCACTTTAACGATAGTGAGAAAAACATGTTAGGTATGGGTGCAGCTAGCACAGGTATGAGGGTGAATGCGTACAAATAACCAGTGAACTAACTAGTGAATTCTGCAATTGTTTCTTCACAGACTAGCAAACTAGCAAACAGGAATAAATTTTAATGTCACTCAAGGTGACAAAAACCGAAATATGTTATTTTTCCAAGTGCTCCTTTGAGGTGTTTTAATTTGGCCACCCTGTTGCTATTGAAAACCATGGCCATATGGTCATGTATAGATGTCTAAATATTAAGGAAGCAATAACAGGTGCTGAATTATTTAAATAATCTCAGAGTTTGTGTTTAAAGGGGGCAAAAGCCATAGCAGAAATATACAGAAATATTTCCAGTCTAATTTAATAAAAACAGCAATTCTTTTTTAAGTGGCATGACGTGACTTTGTAAATTCTAAAATGGCCCAGAGTTGTAGACACCCCCAGCAGGTAAGGTTTAAGAGACCTCTTTGGGAGTTGGGGACGTTTCATTAAGAAGTTGATATTTTGCATCGTGCGAGTTAAACCAAAGGGTCCACAGAAGATCTCTGAACTCTGCCAGCGCTGAGGAGTATTACTAAGAAAGCCTGCGGGTTTTTAAATGCTAATTTAGTATGTTTACTCTACTCAAATAGTGTACATTATGTAATATCCTGAAAGTGAGAAATTTGTAAGATGAGGGTATGTTGGAGAATTTATCCCACTCTAGCCGAATACAGTACAGCATTCTTGGAGTATGTTACATTTCACTTCTCAGAGGGCAAGAAATGAAAGGAAATCCCCATTTGGGGAGAAAGAATATTACACCCTGACCTCTGTAAAGAGGGTGGAAAGACTCCAGGAAAATAATATCCATCAAAGCATTCCTGACTGATTTGTGGTGTCTTCGAGTCCCTGGATAAGAGTAGATAACGACTGCAGGTTAACAACAATGGCATGCTGATCCTTGGGCGAATAAGTAAAGGCTAAGCAGAGGTATTTAATTAGAAAATGTTTAAAGTTACAGCTGCTCTCCAACCATGTATTTCGGCCGGCTTTATTTAGTCAATTATTACTTAGTCAGTAATAATTAAGAGATGGTAATGAGGCTGCCACTAGAGAGCAGGTCACATCAGACCCCTAAACCAGACCAATCCAACTGTGATTCAAAGTTTTACAATCGTCCATCTTCCTTTCCCTTTAGAGTGCATCCAGTAGACACACATATGTAAATATGCATGGGTAATAATAAAGAGGAACTGATGATTATTAATAGCATAGAAGGTGATTTGTGTTTCAGTCAGTCATTCGAGCCTGACAGGCAGGTGTCTGTCACCGTACGCGTCCCCGTCATGCCCCCTCCTCCCGCCCTCTGACGTGAAGCTTGCTCTGTACTCCAATTAATCCAGTAGAGTTTTAATAATCCATTCAGTCATGAAGTGTGTCTGAAGGCAAAGATAAGGTGGCTGGGTGTAGCCATCTCCCTTATCAGGCAGAGAGAAACTCCCTTACCAAACAAACCTAAACATTGGACGTCATGGTGAGACCGAAACGGGGGTAATGTTGCCCATTGAAGCCCTTTGCTGCACGGACATTTGGCTCCGACATGAAAGAAGCTCTGCTCCACTTTTTCTATATGAGGTAACATGAGACAGAGCTTTATTAATTCCCCAAAGGGGAGATGCCTGTGTAGCATTACACTGATAAGATTCACTATTTTATTGATATTATATACAACAATACAGCAAGGTAATAACAACTCAAGTGGGGCAAACAAAACAACACAAGACAGGACATGTCACATTTAACAACATGCGCAGACTTAAATAAATAATACTAATAGCCAATAAAATAAAATGAATAATACATAACACAAACAATACAATACAAACCAACAAATATTAAATAACCCCTGCACTATATATACACACATATATATACAAACAAATGAGACCGTGTGGGGTCAGAATGAGAAGTTAGCACGGGGAAGGACATGGGCAGACAGGAGTGACGTCAATGATCGGACTGGGGCTGACAAGATGAACTCTATAGACTGCCTCCCAGCAGACTATAGACTGACTATATGCAAAGACTACTGAGGGGTAACGAGCAACATGCGTGGCTCATTAGGGCCACGTGAGGGGTACGTAACTACATATGTGTGTGTGTGTGTGTGTGACCCCACATGGTCTCATTAGTGTCCCTGCTCTCGTTCAGTTAAACAAAACCACTTTGTCGCCAAACGCCCACCTTCGCGTCCTTCGTCCCGCGTGCCGTGGCAGAATGACCGGATTCGGCTAGTTACCCAGCCTTTTCCGTGTCACTTATGTCCCTCAGGGTGCCCTGGCACCGGGTCACCGCATTCCTTGAGTAAAGGGAGCTGTAGGATGGGACACACGACTCCCAGCGTCCACAAGCTTCCAACCTCTCCAGGGAGAGATGCGGAAGATATACTGTATATAAAATTAACAATAATAATAATGAGCAAATTGTGTACAGTGAAGCATGTTTGCTTTGGTACAACTGGGTGAAGAACACAAATTACCCTTTGATTATCCATACACAATGTGCATTATTTGAAAAAATAAGAATAGTCTTTTTTCTGTTTTGGACTGATTCCTTGGGGCTTATACACATAGTGTTCATCTCTAAGAAATCTATGGTTTGTGGCCAATGTTTCTTGAACAGTTCTCTCCCATTACTCAACAATATCAAGCTGAATAATGGGTTACCTGACATCATCTGCATGGCTTTCACACAGAACAGAGAAAGTCAACCGCATTTTCTTTAATAAATCCCTTGCTGCAGCTGCACGATTCATTACAGATCTTTCTAAGCTCTCGACACATGTGACCATTTAATGGATCGATATGAGAACGGGGGGCACCAGCGCACACATTATCAAACCAGAGAGCATCTTAACCAAACCCTGTATCAAGCCACATTGCAGGCCTGCACACCTCTCAACTGATTTCCAGGAAATTATTGTCATTCTCTGTAGGCGGAAAATGCATTTCTCGCTTTCCTGGTTTCCAGAAATCATTATGCAGAGTGCTAAAATTAATTAAGCCCATTCAAAGGACTCTGCTACCAACGTGTGTAACTTTTGGCTTTATATGAGACAGATATAAAATTTAATTAACTTTTATTTAATGTGCTATAGAAGCCCAATATTTCTGTTAGCAAAATATGTTCAATGGCTATTATTTGTTGTGTCGTTGTGGACAGTTAGAAAATGACCAGGAGAAGGCAACCATTATTAAAGAAGACAGGCAGCATGTAAAGGAGAGGAAGTGCAAGGAGAGAGAGGGAAGGTCTGTGAAGGTTACAAGGCAACTGAAAACATCTCAGCGAGGCTTTTGGGTTTGTTAGAAAGTGGAAAAAGCCCTGGAGAGCCAAATGAATTGACATGTCATTCAATAATGCACCTAATAGCAGTCCAGGCTTTAAAGAAGACTGTTATTTTATATATTGATATTTCTATTACTAAAATAAATGTGTAAGGCAGATTCATTAATCCTAAATGAGGTACAATATTCTTTATTTAGGTTTGTTCTATTATGTTCCATTACTGAATTAATGTACCTAGTTTAAGGACACAATGACTGAACCTCTTGTGCTGCTTCTGGGCCCATATGTTGAGGTAGAGGACGATGTTATTCACTTGATTCACCTGGTGGCAGAGGGAAGAACCCATTCGTGTAACCTGGCTCGTGGAGGCTTTCTGGACCTCCTTGCCACATGATGACATCAAACCTGCATCCTCACTGTGAGGCATTTTGACAAGACCGGTGACTGTTGGCAGGCTCAGCAGAAGGTCTTGAGGCATGATTCAAATTGCGAGACACACTGAGAACGTTCTCAGTTGTTGCCAGAGCAGCCTAATAATACATCCCTGTTCAACTACTCAATCCAAAATTACAGAATAGTTATATGCTGCAAACACACCGAGTTCCAAAAGAGGCCGAAGGAAATTCGTTTTTTACAAACTGCAATGCTTCCAACTTCTCCAAGCTGTGACCCACCAATGTGATAGAAATAGGCCGGGACTCAGGTTCGGATACGTTACTCATGCTGGCAGTGACATTGATTTAGACATCTGTTAGCTAAGTTGAAGAATGTGGTTAGAGGTCTGCCCAAATGGATCGTCTGTTAGGAAGGCCACACAACCCAGTGACAGAGACCCAACATCAGACAGGAAAGGCTGTCTTTTACAGAGATTCTCTGAACTAAAGAAAGATTAGTCCATCATGGCCTGGAAACACTTGAAACACTTAGTAGAAGACATGTTTGATTTACATGTTGCACAGAGTCAGTGATCACACAGTCAATTACGGCCATTTGAAATTAAGCCAACTAATGTCTACAAAGGCCCATTAACCTCTTCAAGGTCCTTCTCATTTCCAAGTGTGCCGTCAGTATGTATGAAATCATTCTTATTAAGCGTGAAAATTCTGTTTCTGTTTCTGCACTTTTACATCTTGCTGACATCCAAGTAAATCAGCAAATTTGGCACTTTAAGATGTAAACACAAGATATTTTATTCAGTTTTTTTTTTAATCATTGGAATATCGAACAGCCAGTTTTTCAGGTATTGCCACAATTCTGATGAAGCCAACACACACTGCATGGGCTGCTGGATACCTGAATGCCTAAAACATGATTTAAACAGAACAAACAATAAATAAATATTTTGCCTTTGAAGGCTGAATGCCTATGGAGGACATAATGAGCTGTTAGAAATGTTTTTATAAACCTTATAGCTTTTCACAAACCACATCTTGGAACAGGCCTGGACTGCATAATCACTTTCTTATACATATATTAGTGGAGTTGGAAGGCAGAAACAATTATTGCAAATAATGGTAATCATGAAAGCTACATTCAATTAGACCCACATTATCCATCATACAGTATGCATTTATGTCAGGAATCGAATGAAAAGCTAATTAGTCAGTTTTAAGTCAAAACAAGGCTTCGTAGAGAGATTCTCTTTATGAGTGATCCATATTCATTGAATGTTCATTAATGCAGAAATATCCAGAATCTTCTTTAAAAAAAGTTGATGACGTTGCAGGATAGACCAGTCTGTCACCACTCGAGGAACGAATAACTGAAGGGCAGCGATTGTGGCAAAACAAAAAGGGGGTATAGTGAACTCAAAGAACTGTGACTGGAAAGAAACAAGATCGCGAGAGATCAAAAACGGGAGGAGTGGAGCAAGGAAGGGCACAGGCAACGAGAGGGTTCGACGTCAATGATCGGACTGGGAAGCACATGCATAGGGGACTAACAAGGGAACTGACAAGAGGCAGCTGGGAGTGATATTCAGCCAGAGGGCTAGGAATGAGAGACAAGACGAGAGGGATAGGTGTGGCTTGACAAGGCTGATAGGGAGGAGACAGGAGGGTCAGGTGGGCAGGATGTGACACAGTCAAAGAGGATGTGTAGGGTAAAGGGGGATTTCACCCACTAAGAAGAGAGAAATTTATCAAAAGTGTTTTAAATTAAAATCCAGATCCAGCAAGGATTAACCAACAAAACACGTCCATGACTCATTTTCACGAGTTTGTTTAACAAAAACAAGATAATGCACGCAATTAAAAAACGATGGAATCCTAAACAGGAAACATGGTAGCTGAATAAATGATGAGGTCTTAGACAACAAGCTGCAAGACAACAAATTCAATGAGCAGCATAAATATTCAATTAAAACCAGCATCAGCTGTGTCTGTGCAAAGAGCTCCCCTTCACATGCAAGTTTTCCTTTTTCATGCACAAATTTGTTGCAGATGTGTTGTCAGATTTAACCATCAGGCACAACTGCTTGGGTGAGGCTTATTGAGCCATCACCTCTGCTCCCATTAGCTATACAGATTAGTCTGTTAGTGCTAGCATGTGCTACCTCGTGTTAATGAGCTTTTTCCGAATTTTGTTAGTAATGTCATTTATGCATGCATTTCCCTCAGCTGTTGTCATGTGTCCTGCCCAAACCCAGCTTTCAAAGGTGATTTTATTTAATCACGTAGCGTTTCGTACCTATTCTTTGTGCGAGATTTTAAATGTGCCCAGAGACTCATGAAAAATAAATCAATTGAATAAATTATTCAATGCAGTCATTGTTTCCCAGTTCAGTTTCCAGATTTCAGATTCCTTTTACACTTATTTTGATGGAAAGATGTTTGGAGCAGGCAATGATGAGTCAGATGTCAAAACTGACACAGAGTGGCGGTGTACAATTGGTAGCGTGAAGAAGAGAGGCTTTTTGTAGAAATGTGTTGTAAACAAAGTGTAACAATATTTAATATAGAGCTTTTCTGAGAAGAATCCTCAGATGTGTGGGTTCAGAGGTACCTTTGCTTTAAACTTGGGCTTGCACAAAGTCTGCCTCCAACCTTGTGATTTTGGAAGGAGGTCTAGACAAAAGGCAGGTAGAAAACTATGGTCAGTTCATGTTCATTGAAGGATTCGTCTCTTACACACACAAAAACTCACATTTTATTGATACTCTATTTGGGTTTTAGCAGGACGGGTCACATCCCTTTGGAAGCTGTCATGAGCCTCAACACAGGATGTGTGACCCACAGCCAACTGTTACTGTAAAGCACAGCGACTTGGGACCGTTTCCATGGTAACACACACCAGTTAGCATTTTAGTTGATAGTGAAAGTTTTAAATATGTTTTCCCCAATAGCTTTTTTTTGTAAGTTTAACAGGCAAAACTTAGGTGTGGCAATATTGTCTCATTTGTTACTGTTAGATATTAATAGATTATACTATTTACCAACTGTGGTAGAGGCACAGAATATTTTTATTGCCTTTTGTATAGTTGTCAGGATTTAAAATTGCTACTATTTGTAGAGTGTGTTTTTCCCAGTGCTGTCTGAATGGTATATTGTTTCCTGATCGCATAAACATCAATCACAAGAGTCCATTGAGGACAAGATCAGATGGTACCAAACAAAACCAGCATGTGTGACCTCCTGTTCACACAACATTACTGTAGATGAGCATGTACTAATTCTCTCTAATTTGGCAATTCCGTCTGTTGACCAGGTATTAGTGAAGAAACAGCTTTACATTAACTGCACCTTCATAATGCCTTTATAATGCATTCATAGAACATGCAGTGCACCTTCATTATGCATTCATAGAACATTCATAAGCAGTGTGTAAGTATGCCTTAATGTCATACCTGCTTATGAATGTTCTATGAATGCATTATGAAGGTGCAGTTAAAGTAAACCATTAGTGTAAAAACTTTCACCTGAAAGGAAAACAGTAAAAAATTAAGAAAATGTTTTGAATAGGATATAAGCCCTAACCTCAACCACTTCTTCTGTAAAAGGTGAATTTTAGTGAATTCTAAAGGCATTAAAATGAAAAGACAGGTGGGCACCATTGAAGGTCATGTGGTGGATTGTGAGTGTGTTATGAGTCTGTGAAATGTCTGGCCTTTGCCTGACAAAAAAGAATACTGTCAGTGCAAATTTATTGGCTGCAGATGACTAGTGGAAATGACTGATGTAATGATAAACGAATTAAATTCTCACTAAACAAATTTAGTTTCACTCAGTACAGATTCCTTTCATGTTCTGCACCACTCATATTTAACTCTTAAGCCTGTTACAGGACTCAGCCATTTTTCGTTCTAATAGATTCCAGGACTCTGTTTTGAAATTCAAGAAAAAAAAATTCAATGGTTTTTTTTTTTCATATGTTAGTGAGAGCTCACATTCAAAACATTCTTTTCCATTATTTAGTTTGGAAAAATATTGTCTGTTTAAATTATATGTAACAGGTTTTTTAAAGGTAAAGGGCTGGGAGAAATATCATTTCTATGAGAAGCAAGTGGGAATTATTTTAAATTCCTGCAAAAGCTGTGAAATTTATAAGGCAGTCAACAGCAATTAAGAATTTAGCCACCTGCTGTTTTGGTGAGATTTAAGCACAGACACAGTGTTCATAACACAGTATTAAATGATGCAATAGATATGTGGAGAGAACTGAAATATTTATCTTCAAATGCATGCTTAGTGCACTGCAACCTGGGTTCCCTTTTAGACAAGACTTTGATTTGTTCTCAATTATCTTCTTCCATGGGTACTCAGACTGATCACATTCAGTATTATCAGAGATGGCACCTTCAATTAACTGCTATAATGAGAACCTGAGACCTAGACACAGCATTTGGACACAGAGTCATTGGGTGTCATTTGCTGTTGGACCTTCTGACAGATATATATTTTATGTATATGTCAGCTGCTAGGAAGAGGCTGCAGATGAGGTACAGCAAAGCATTCTGGGAAAGTGTTTAATTCTATATGAGAGTTGCTACCCTATATGAGAATTGTTGCTCCTTTTTGCTGTGCAGGAGCTCTATGGTCTCTCTGTTGGATAGGCATTAGTCAGACACCTCCCCCCCCCCCCCCTGCCTGCTGTGTCTCTGAGATTCCAAAGCCCCAAGTCTTTCTCTGATCGGCGCTGAAGTCTGGCACAGCAAGAAAGCCACAATGGTATGTGTATGAACAGAACTTGGCTTTGGTCCCCCTCAGGTGTGGCAGTGCGGGGGAAGCATGGAAGTCCTCCCCTGCGCCCGGGTGGCACACATCGAGCGCACCAAGAAGCCCTACAACAACGATATTGACTACTATGCCAAGCGGAACGCCCTGCGGGCAGCGGAGGTCTGGATGGATGAGTACAAGTCTCACGTCTACATGGCCTGGAACATCCCCATGAACGTGAGTGTGACCCAGAGCTCGCTGCTGCCCCCTTCTGTCTCCCAGCCGCTCCATCTGCTCCTTCCTGGTGAACGTTTAGATGTGCCCTCTCTTGCACTCAGCCGCACATTTCATTGACGCTGTTGCACAGGTGTAAGAAAGGGACGATTTCAATCAGCAGCAAGCCACTTTCCGGCACATCAAGTTAAGTGCAGGGACCTTATATTATTATTATTTTCTTGCTGCGGCTTCTGTCGGCAATTTTTAGCCACTTACGGGACTGGCTACTTCAGTGCAGCAATTCAGCGGCCATTCAGGGGTGTCTCACAGCAGAGCCTAACAGTGGCAATGCTGATTTATGACAGGGAAATTATTTTCAAAATACTTAGGAGGAAAAAAAAAAGAAAGAAAACTTAAACTACAGAGGTTACGGCGCAATTCTTCATATTAATATAATTTCATTTTTAAAACGAGTTACTTAACTCTTGTCATGAAATCACAATTAAAGGGACTTTAAGGTGACTTTCACTCTGTTTCACCGTATCTGGGTGGATGTTTCTCTGTGTCCCTGGTGCCCTGATTCTGAAACAGAAAACTGAAGGTTTTCATTACAACGTTTTCAACATGCTCCTTCAAGTTTTCCAATCCGTAATTAAAATGTTATATTAAGAGATTAGTTTGGGCAGGTAAATGCACTGCATAGTAGGACTGACATAGACGTTTTTGCTTTCTGTCATTTTTACATTTTTAAAAGTCCATTGCTGTACAGTGTTGACATGAACTGGGATCCAATTTTGAGTATTAAATGTTATTGCTAAAATAAAGTCTGAGGTCAGTTTTAAGCTGCATGAGAGAAAAAGATGACAAATTATTTAATGAAGTAATTCTGGAATGTGAAAGTGAAGGTTTTTGTGCATTTTATTTTGCAGTTATTAATTTTACCATTTAGTTGCTGTTTGACATGAGGTGATACTGAAGTGGCTCGTGACTTTAGTATTAATTGGAAAAGAACAGTGTTTCCCACAGACAGTACACATTTTTGCTCTCTCCCTGCTCCCGGTAGGAGCAAAAACATGGAGCATTTGCAGGTCCCCGAGGACCAGGTTGGGAAACACTGGAATAGAGTGTAAAAAGTGTGGTATTAGACACATTTATCTGGAAATGGTGTAAATCCCCATGATCAACTTGCCCCATGGCCAACATGTGTGTGACTGTGACCACGGCAGAACCCCGGCGTGGACTTTGGAGACGTGTCCGAGAGGATCGCCCTCCGCAAGAAGCTGCGCTGCCACAGTTTCCAGTGGTACCTGGAGCACGTCTACCCAGAGATGCGGGTCTACAACAACACCATCACCTACGGGGAGGTAGGGATCATCTCCTGCTGACGTCACTGTTCGTTCCCCACCAGCTGTCTGTCTGCTTGTTTATCAAATTAAACTACAGTAAATACTGTACATGTATGCATTTTCTCACAATATTGACAGTGATATTGACACTGACAGCATGAAACTTAGGAAGCCTCTTGGGAAATGAATGTGGTGTTATCAGTGTGGTGTTGCTGTGTTGATATCTGAGATCTGCATAAGCTGTAATGTGAATCCCCATGAGAGTTTAACTTTTTCAACGCACGGCTTTTTCTGAAGTTCACTAGTTACACAACAACATGAGCTTAAGTGAGTTATTTCAATAATAATCAGTCAAGTAGGTAATTGCTCAGGTAATGTAGTTAAAATGCTTCCTTTTTTCTTTTAATTCCTTACAGAACAATTGTTTTAACATTAAAATAGTTAACTATTTCATATAATAGAAGTGTCACATTCTCCAAATTCAAGATTTAAGAACAATAGGGAGAACAAATATCATATCTGACAATTATTACACTTCATCGTCATCATCATCATCGTTATTATTATTATTATTTATTGTTATTATTATTCAGGCTGGTAACAGTGACCCGGTGTTGTACCTTAGCACAGTGACAGATGTAGGGCATGTTAATTTCCCCAAAGCCTGCTTTCTCTCTCTCTCTCTCTCTCTCTCTCTCTCTCTCTCCAGTCAATTGCTCCTTTTCTCCCAGTAATTTACTTCAAAGTAAAAGCAAGCGAATGAATGAGTCACACTCCTTTGTGAGGAAAGCCACCTTGTCTCCATAGCAACGGAGTTCCAAAATAAGGCTAAACGGGACGATTTCCCCCATAATGAGTTTTAATTAAACACTTATTAGCTTTAGATGTCGGCACAGCAGCACAGAGGACGTCCTAGAAATTAAACACTTCTGGTAGTGCAGCCTCACATGGTGTCGTGGTAAAGATTAGCATCCTCTCATCAATTTTACAACCAGAAAAAATCACTAAAACTACTTTAACTGTAACTTATAACTTAATTATAACTTTAAAAACAGCCTTTTGTGGGTCTCCTGTGTGTTTTCCATTCCCACTGCACAAGCATTTCCTTGGAGAAGTTCTCACTTAAATACAGGGTAGATTTGGGAGTCAGACACAGAGAGGGAGAAAACTGGACCAGAGGTTTGTAAGAGACTTGTCTGAGTCTGTCAACTCATTTTTCACACACGCACACCCATACACTCACATTCTGTGTGTGTGCGTGCACCTTTGCAGGTGAGAAACAGCAAAGCAAGTGGATACTGTTTGGACCAAGGCTCTGAGGACGATGACAAAGCCATCCTGTACCCGTGTCACGGCATGTCCTCTCAGGTACAGCCTGTCCGGCGGGACTGGGACCCCCTGTGCTGGGCCAGAGTCCACCTCATTCCACGCCTCACTGTTAATGCTGCAGCACAGAAATGTCCTCATAAGTGCAAAGAAATACAGTATGCAGGGCTCATTTTAGTAGGGCGGCGAGCAGCCGCATTTCATTGGAGGACAGGAATGGAGACTTTATTTGTGGAGGCAGGTTTAACAAAACTGGGATTAAAAATAAAACAAAGGGCAGCCATTTCTGATTCTGGGAAAATGAAACAGGCATTAGGAAGGGCTACAAATGGGCCTTAGGGTTTGGGGGTCAGAAAAAATAGGACCCAGTATTATGTAATAGGTAATCAGATACAGTACAAGTCAAAGTGATAGGCCGATTGGATATGCTCCTCTTTTATTGTTATAATGCTGTAATCCTCAGAATCATGAATAACAAAGTGCTGCATTGGTAAGGTGAGAAAAATGTATTTATACATTTCGATACGTTTTTACTTGCAAATATTGTTTGTTTTGGTTGTATTTAGAATTTCTTTTTTGCAAGGTGGACATTTAAAACAGAACTAGATGTTTCCGTCTTTTCATGAGCTTTGAGCCGAAACATTGATTGAGTTAACAGCACATGAAGACAGAGATAATGAAATAATCAATAGGGAACCTCAAATCCAGCATAAGGAATTTCTCACATTATGAGGTCGTACTGAGCTGTGGCAAAACCCTTCCTCGGGAAAATAAGCAAATAAAAACTAATTGAGTTTGTGCCTTTTTGACATTAAATGAGTTGCTTGGCACTCTGGGAAATGTTAACCTGCCGCATCGGAGGCTGTCCTTTTCAGCTGTCTAATTCAGAATGTGCTCCTTTTCTTCCCAAATGAGAGATGCGATAACATATCAGAGCCATAGGCTTTTGTCTGACCCTGCCACCCCAAAACAGGCACATGACCCAGACAAAGGCTGACCTTTGACATTTTCATAAAAATCTATCTTCACATCATGGCTGGTGCCTTCCAGTAAGGCTCATTCCATAAAGAATCAGAGAAATGTCAGGAACTCCGCGGCTGCGCTGGATCTGGTTATACTGGGATTGCTATTATGTCTGGCCAGCACTGTTCCGGGAACAGGAGCAGACCTGCAACCCCCCCACCCCCCCTCCCCCCCATCCCGAACACCCACCATTTATGATGACATGTGTGTGGCCTGCGGTAAGACAGCAGGTGCCATTATCTGTGAATGGCGTGTTACAGTGAGTGCTGGCGAAGGAGGGGATGTAGAGATGGGGGGGCGCGGGGGGGGAGCCACACACGCTGAATCCTGATGGCACCAGGTCTCGCTGATGGACAAGCTAATTTACTGCTCTGTGCGCACCTGGCATCTACATTCACCACCCCTCCTCGTGCGAAAATCACTGGGCGAGCAGCTCATTTTATAGGGGATTTGCACATTTTCATGCTGAAATGTTTTCTGTCATGAAGCGTAGTACAGTTTTAGGGTAACGGTTCCCTGAAGCTGCGGCTGATTTAGCGGGGCACTCCCAGCCGATCATAATGCGCTAATGCCTTCTTCATCAGTGACATACTACTACCCGGACAATGCGCTACTCATCATATTCCCACTAATGTCGATAATATGCGGCAACCTGGTATCAGCCGATTACTGATCAATAAGCGGCTCAGCTGGAACGATCTGACTGACTCTGTAGCGCAGGATGAACATTTTGCAGTCAGTCCCTGTTAAATCACCAGCACAGGATATTTATGGGAAACTGACTGACTGTCTTTGTGTATAACTACATTTAGTCCTTCACCGAGTTACATTTTTGCATTTAAATTTGCCAGTGTGCACACCATGTTCATTTATTTATTGGAATTCCTTCCTGACAGGCATGCTCAGTACGGCTGGGGCTGCGGGAGGTCAGTGCTAAACATGCTCTCCAACCCGCATAGAAGGAAGGCTTCCTTAAAAAAGCACAGTGGGGTTAGCAGTGGAGTATCACATTCACTCGCTTGAAAACAAGCTTAATTGGATTCCTGGGAACATTTACTTCAGCTTATTGTTTGTTTATTTATATATATATATATATATATATATACATACAAATACACACATTTGTTTTGAACTGCAAGAGAATAAAATAAGTAGAAAAAAATTGCTTCTGGTAGCTTAACTCGGGATTATCCGGATTTCTTTCTTCCCGGCTCTCTCGTTTCACTACTGAGAAATTGCCTTAGGAATTATAAGAATAGACAGGGAAAAGCATTAAAACAGGAATGAAAAGTGCTGGTACTTGTGGGATAACAGAATAATCGTGACAGCAGTGCTCATAGCCCGCCTGCGAAATGAAGCCCATGTTGACATATTCTTCGTACCTTTCTCTGAGAAACGCAGCCGTAGCCACAGTTTGCTCTCCCGCATTGGGTTTAATTTGGCTCATCTTCTCTGGATATTGTGTCCTGACTGCACTCCTCCTTTCCCGCTCCCCCCTGCCTGCCTGGTGGATGGTTGTTCGCGGCCTGTTACTTTAACATGTACCCCACGTGCCTTCACCCCAAAGACGCCCGATAACAGTCAAGCGGGATTACATGGGGCTAAGGGGACACAAAAGAGCAGTCAGTCACTGCGTCAGAAGGGAGCACCTTCCTGCCCCGTCGCTGGCTTCTTCATACTCTCAACGGAGTCTTTCCATTGAGATTGATTGGAGTGCGACTCTTCTAAATGCCTTGCCTTCATGAATAATGCAGTGTAGAGTGACAGGCCATGTTAACACCGTAAGTAAATATCAGGCAACAAAGGTTTGTTTATAAACCTTGGTGTAAGGTAAAAGGATAGGTGTTACTGAAGCAGGTCATTTATACATATAGAAATATGCTTTAAATAGAACTTCTAACCCTAATCATGATTATTCATAGAAGTGGTTTAGAAAAAAAATGTCCCTTTGAAGAAATACTCTAATTTCCCACAACAATTTAACAATATACACACACCAGTATGTAATAACATGTATAGAAGTGACGCTTAGAAGGAAGTATATTTACTTGCAAAATATATGAAAAAAAAATAACAATAATTTTTAAAGACCGGAAATGTGAAGAAAAAATAAGAGAAAAATCAGACATTTGCAGAATTTACCCAAGCAGCCATGGTTACGAAGCATTTGTCTGTTATCTTACAGCTTGCCCGATACTCCACAGAAGGTCTCCTGCAATTAGGGCCCCTTGGCTCGACCACATTTCTGCCCGACACCAAATGTCTCATAGACGATGGCAGAGGCCGCACACCGAGCTTGAAGAAGTGTGACGCTGTTTCTCGAGTATCTCAGAGGCTTTGGGATTTCACACAGGTGGGACATCTGTCTGTTTTGTTCATGACATTTTAATATAAAAAATTGCATTATATTCGGATGCACATTAAGTAATGGAATTTTATTGGACTTCTTGATATGGAGTTTTAGATTAAGGCATTGCAAAGATTTCTATTCATAATAAAGTATCAGAAATACAAACCCTGTTCATTATGCCTGACCTTGAACATCCACTAATACATAACACTTATGTATTAGTTTTTATTCATTTACTAAAGTTCAGATTGAAAGCTGTTTAATTAAGGACACTGCATCAAGGAGCGTTTAAGCAGTCCTATAATCAATTTTGATAAGTAATGTTTTGGATTTAAGTGTGCCCAGGACTTCATGCTAATGAGTACAGATGGAAAATTAATCTATTCCTCTCTGTAGAATAGCTATGGACATTTTCAAGGTTACCAGAACCTCCCTACCACATTTGAACCATGTCACACATGTACTGATATAATATTTGTTTTTTATGCATGAAGAATGGACCAATCATCAGCAGGGACACTGGAAGGTGCCTGGAAGTGGAGATGTCCAAAGACGCCAACTTCGGCTTGCGGCTGGTGGTGCAGAGGTGTTCTGGACAGAAATGGATGATACGTAACTGGATAAAGCACCCCAGACATTAAAGCAGCCATGAAGGTTACTCCTGGCTTTGTCCCGAGACACGGCAGATGGAGATGGAGCGACCACGCTGAGGCAGAGCAGGCCAGGAACCCCGCAGACGGGCAGCCATGAAAGACGACGGGTTGCCATCTTTAGCAGCCATCGTGTTTACTGCCCCTGTCCCTCGGGCACGACGACGTTTGACAATTCTGAACAACAGGATAAATGACTAACACCATATTTCTGTGGGCCGCTGGCTCTATGCTCAGAGCAAGCGAGCTGCAATTTCGGAAATCCTCTAGGCATACCATAATACAAGGAAAGTTTGAAAGAATGCAAGCAAAACAAGGATCAGGAAGGCAGGATGCTGACACATTAGCTGATGAACAAAACACAATTTGAGTCCTTATTATGGTAATTTTACATAGCAGGGTTGGGACTTCTGGATCATGACACAATCCTGACTGGAACCGTCTGTTCTCATAAGGCAACTGCTGTCTATTCATTTGGTTTCTTTTTGTTTTTTATTTTTAATTTAATAACTGATGCACAACTTAGGATTTATTATGTGCCTTTTCCATTATTATGCTTTGTCTGACCTGGGAATAGCTATTCCTCAAGCATGTACAAATGATTTTATGGAAAAAGCTAATTAAATACATTAAAAGATAAACTAATGTAAAAATGTTATATAATGTATCGTAAAATTGAATGAGGCTGCAGCCTTTAAACAAACGATCATTATTAAATGTTTATATGAGAAAGGTACTTACTGTTAAGTAAATGATTGTTCTGACAATCTTCCACTCACTTATCCTGGTCAAGTTCTTGGGGAGGTAGGGTAGGGTACAGTTAGGGTAAGGGTTAGGGTACACCCAGGACAGGATGCCAGTTCATACCCAACAGGAAATTTAGAGACTTCAGTTAACCTAGCTGTAGATGTTTATCAATATGCATACTTGACCATTCTTGTGTTCTTATGTATCCGTTTGATGTCATCTTCCATCACCAAAGTACAGAGGACGGTAAAAACCCTTGGATGTCGTTCTTGCCAAAAATATCAAAGGTGCATCAGCTGCATCCTCACCAGCAGGGGCGGATTAACGCACAGGCTAGATATGGCTTAAGCCTAGGGGCCCCATGTGTGCCAGCCTGCAAGGGGGCCCCCATTGGCGCGGAGGGGGGCGGGGTTGGGGGGCCCACAGACTACTGTAGCCTAGGGGCCTCTGTGCACCTTAATCCGCCCCTGCTCACCAGAGACAACAATCCTGTGATTCATTGTGTCCCAGGTTTGTTCTTGGAAGACATGTTAGTAAGTAGGCTCCTTGCGTTTTTGGCTTTGATAAACACCCTGTGTCTTTGGATTACAGGAGAAAACCCCATGTGACTGTGGGAGAACATGTAAAGTCCTTATTAGCTGACAAATACATAAATTACCAGATAATGCCATGATGCCCTTAGAATAAAGGTTCACCAAATATCTGGAGGGATTATGATTGGAGAAGCTACCTGTCCCTTTGGTAAGAACATAAGAACTTAAGAAATTTACAAACGAGAGGCCTTTCGGCCCATAAAGCTCGTTTGGGGAGAACTCAACTAATAACTCAGAGCTGTTAAAATCTTATCTAGCTTTGATTTAAAGGAACCCCAGGTTTTTGCTTGCACTACACTAGCAGGAAGACTATTCCATACTCTAACTACACACTGTGTAAAGAAGTGCTTCCTCAAATCCAGTTTAAAATGTTCTCCCGCTAATTTCCACCTATGGCCATGAATTCTTGTATTTGAACTAATATTGAAGTAACTATTTGGTTGAACAGCATGCAGACCTGTTAGAATCTTATATACCTGGATCATGTCCCCCCTTAGTCTTCTTTGCTCGCGGCTAAACAGATTCAGCTCAGCTAACCTCTCCTCATAAGACATTCCTCTCAGACCAGGAATTCTTGTAGCCCCACGTTGAACCCTTTTTAAGGCAGCAATGTCCTTTTTTAAGTAGGGTGACCAAACCTGCATACGATATTCTACATGGGGTCTTACCAAAGAATTGTATAATCTTAACATCACCTCCCTTGACTTAAACTCCACACACCTAGAGATGTAACCCAACATCCTATCAGCCTTTTTAATTGCTTCCTCACAGGAAGCATCAACATACACACCGAGGTCTTTCTCATAATCAGCTTTATTTCAGTGGAACCCAAACAATATCTGCACTTTATATTTCTGCTCCTTGCATGCATTACCTTACATTTGTCTACATTATATTTCATCTGCCATTATTTAATTAAATCAACATCCCATTGTAGCCTTTGTGCTGCTAGTTTAGTATTCGCTACGACACCCGCCTTGGTGTCGTCTGCAAATTTAGCCAGTTTACTATATATATTGGTGTCAATATCCATCCATCCATCCATCCATCCATTATCATAACCACTTAATCTCCCCTGGGGTCACAAAGCCCATCCCAGAAGCATCAGGCACAGGTGGGAACCAACCCTGAGTGGGCACCAACACTCATAGTGCCAATTTAGATACGCCAATCAGCCTGGACTGTGGGAGGAGCCTCTGGCGAAAACCCACACGAACTCCACACAGAAAGGACCCAAGACCAAGCTCAGGACCTTCTCGCTGTGAGGCAGCAGTGCTAACCACTGCGCCACTGCACCACTGCGCCACTGCGCCGCCCCTTAGTGTCAATATCGTTAATGTAAATTAGGAATAACAGTGATCATCATTTCTTTTCAGTGATGAGTGAGAGACAGGTCTCCTGTTTCTTAGCCAAAACAAAACAACTATTAATAGTTAATAGATATTTGTTTTGTCTCAGGTCATTGAAACTCGCCATAAACATGCAGCTGGCAGCCCTGACAGACACAGAAATTCCCCTTTAGCAGCTGTATTTTTGCTGGAACTGTGTCATCTCCTGGCATTTGCCAGAAAACTCTTTGTTAATTAAGGCAGTCTTTATAAATTAAAATTTCCCAATATCTCTGCTGGCATCTGGGCTTTTACTACCAATAACACTAAAAGCAGTGGGGAGCTACAGAAGGCAGGGGTGCATGCTCTCTCCCTTACTTTAAAGAAAGGGCCTTTTCTATTTACTATGAGAGAACATTCAAAGTGAATAAATTCTTCATGAATATTTACTGGATGGACAAATAACATTTGTTGAGCAGCAGGTATAAAAAAAACAGAAAGCAAAGATGAAAGGAGCAGCCAGACTGTGTCCTCTTCTTCATTGTTATTTAATTTTTCATCCTTAGTCTAATACTGGAGAACTCATACCCCCCCCCCCCCCCCCCCCCCCCCCCAACTGCCCATGCTCCAGTCAGTCGGCTGGTACAAGCCTGCCTCTAATTATCCCAGACCAGAAAGAGGACTGTTGATATCTTTTGTACCACCATTAGTCATACAGAAGTTCTGTAAAACTAGAGTTAATCCTCAAAATTTTCATTTTAACTTTTTCTAGGATGTTCTAGAACTTTCTTGGTTCTCACCAGGCGTTAAAGTGGGCCAGAATGATCCAGTATGGCATTCTGGCACCTTCAATTAATAGTTCAATAAATTTGATTGGCAGTTTCATACAGAATAATGTCATGCTGTTGAGATACTGACTCAACAAATCAGAAAGTACTGGCACCCCATGGCCCTGCCCTACACTCAACATGTGTCCTCATCCCTTCTCTTCAGTTGGTTCATGCCTGTATATTAACTTGAGGTCATGATACTAACTACAGTAGCTATAGAAGAGGAGTGAACAGAAAAAAAGTTCTGAAGCGGTAGGAAATTTCAAATGCAACGTTTCATGAAAGATCAGCAAATACACTAGTCTACAGTCAAAATGCTTCTTAAATAAATTTACTCAGATTGTACGTAATAATCTTGATTGGCTATAATTTTTAAGATACGGTACTGGATCAGTAAGTCTCGTTATATATACAGGCCGATGTTTCGGAGTGACCAAACATGCCTCGTTTATGCGTGAACAATGCCGATCAGTTTTGCTATATTTGCGGGGAAGTTACCTTCAAATCACAGAAACGCAGTATAACTGCTGAGGTAAAGAAAGCATGTCGTCTTTACTTCAGGTGCAAAGTTGGAGACCAAGACAATAGCTGGGCTCCACACATAAGTAATACATGATGGCGTTTGCTTTCTGAATCATAACAGATGCTAATGATAAGCCAATTGTAAAACAATGTTAAAGGATCTGTGTTAAAATGAATATGAGCCACTATACCATAGACGTATAGTGAATTTGACAATGTGTATGATCGCATAACAGAAAAGATTAAATATCTTTTGAACGGTAGCCAAAACAGCCTCTTTTATTGTCATATTTGAAATCAGCACACCAAAATGCATCAGAATTGGCAGATTTTATTCTCGAAGAAACAACTTCCAAAAATTTGTAGACCAGTGATATCAGCAAACACACAAACCGGTTTATGTGCGGCTTGGCTATCTGTCTTGCTATCTGCTGGTACGGTAGCACTTTGGCTAGCTTAGGCAGAGTGACGTTAGGTCCCATTCAGTAATGGAGCTAACACAGCGGTGAGGGGCGATAACTGTCAGGAATCCTCTACAAGGTCCCTCCTCCCCTGGTCTGTCTGCATTCGCTGTCAGAGTGGGAGGGAGTGATTTTAGCTCCACCACTAGTCCCGCTCCTAGTACTGTATATGTCCACACTGCTATGTTTTCGTTTAAAAACACTGACATTAACCTCCATTTTCCCCTTTCATCCATGCTACCCCAGAGATTTCAGCCCCCAAAAATGGAGACTTATGTAAATGCTCTTACAGCTGTATCCTTCTGAAAACTCTACTGCAGAGTTCCAGTGTGGATGAGTGGAAGCGGAGGCTTTTGAACACCCAGACTCTAAAAGCGCCCTAATTGGTCCCTACTCATCACGTGGTTCATCCCTGATTTGATACCACTAGTTGCGCCCTCTCATTGTCTGATTGGTCACCTGGTCACCCTACACGGAAGAAAACAGAATTCCAACATGGCGGATACGGAGGACCTGCTTTCAGTGGCGCTTTTCAAGTTGCTGACCTGTATGCTGCTAAATAGCAAGTTTCAATGTTACTCCTACTTTAAATTCCCATTTATCTAAATGTCATTTAACCATTAGTACTCTTACTTTCGAGGTACTGCCAGAGTTAACTGATTGGCTGAGCCCCCACCCTTCAAACACATGTCCCACTCCTTCCATGCCTTATGGAGAAAAGGCTTTGTCCCAATAGGGCACCTTAAGCCAAGTAAGGAATTACTTCACAGAGTTACTCAGAGGAACTATAGAATGCTGTGCTTTATTATTTGTAGGAAAGTCAGGTCTTATTCTTGGTTATTATCTTAAATGGAGTAGAGTACAAATACATGTTTTGTGTCCCTTTAGATTGACATTAGGTCTCTAGTGCCTTTTTAAAGGGAACTTTTGTCATGGTAGCCTCAATTGTTAAATGGCCTGCACAGCTAAAATCAGCCCACATAAAGAATATACACGTCCCGATCCTTACAACTGAATCATATAACACAGCCTTTGGAAGATGGTGAAGGCGATTTTCAAAGGTAGACAGCAATTCTATTTTTGTACCTTTATTTTTTTGCTGTTGTGCCGTAAAGGGAGAACTAAGCATTTCTTTACTTACTACTTTTTCTCTCACCGGCAGTCCGTTATGTTTTTCATCAGTTTTGTGAAACATTCCCCAGATCGTTCAGCAGTAATGCACTATTAATGATACCTAGAAAGATGGCATTTTGAA